TCACTTTTTTTAAATTTAGAGAGAGAGAGAGAGAGAGCTCTAGGGAGAGGAGAAGAGAGATTTCTAGAGGAGGACAGATCAAGTGAAGAACTTCTTATTCTTCTTCTCCTTTCTTCTTATTTTTCATGTTATTCTTTCTTTCCATAATTGAGAATGCTTCTTGCTTCATCTTCCTCTTCCCACATTTTCCAAGAAAAGAGTGAGGTTTGGGAGAGCTTGGAAGAGAGGAGAGGGTTTTAGGAGAAGATCAAGGGAAGAAAAACACCTTCTTCTCTCCTTCTTCTCACTGTTTGTCTTCCACAAAAAAATCTAGTTTCTTCATCCTTTTCTTCCTTTTCCACCACCAATCTTTTGGAGAGGGTGAGAGAGCTTAGAGAGGATATCAAGAACTAAGAAAGTGGTGTCTCCTTCCTAAAGGAGATATTTTACTCGATTTGGAGAAGGAAAAAAATCATAATCTCCTACATTCGGAGAGCTTCCTCTAACACTTGGGAGGAGTAGAGGATCTACTCTCATATTTGAGGAGAGCTTCATCTTTGCAACTGCGCACATCATAATTTTCCTTGAATTTTCCTTTCCTTAGCTAACTTTAAGATTGTGTTAGAGAATGATTAGGGCTAGGTTGTTTTTTTCCTAGAGAAACTATAAGGATAGGGAATCTTCATGGACAAATCTGCTAAGAATCCAAGTGATATCCTTGCAAAAGCCTTAGTCTAAACCATAAACTATCAAAATTCATATTTACTGTAGTTTTGGTGGTTCCAACTTTCCATGGAGAGGTTGAAATCGTTGGTGTTCGAAAGATAAAAAGAACTTTGTAGCTAGTTCATCCTATAAGTTGTGGGGAATTTTTCCTTCGAGAAATTGGAGAGCAAAATCCACCACATCCTTTGCCAAGGCTTGAAGCTGTTATGCCACACATCCATGTGCTAAAACCGAATCACCCATGTGAGAGTGCTACAACGGGTATGGCTTGCTATCAGGTGTTAGCATTTGCATTGATTAGTATGAATTTTTATGATGAGTGTCTTTACATTATGCATGTTGCATGTGTTATATTGGTATGACCGATTGCCTTTTCCTGGTCGACCGACCACTTAGGTCTGACAGGCCAGCTTGGCCTAATTGACAACCACTTGGGTCCAACCGGTCGGCACAGCCCAACTGACCCATCACTTGGGTCCAATCGGCTACCCCGGCCCTACCGACCCATTAGTTATGATGTTCGAGGTTGACCACCCAGGTTGACCTAATTGGTCAAAGAGCCAACATCACTTGTCGTGTGTCTTGCATGCACATTCACATCAGTTTAGGTGTCTCTTCAAGCACCAACACTCGTGGCATCTTCCCCACATGAATATCACATGTGTTTGGGGAACGATACTTGCATTGCTTTGGTAATTGGTGACTAGCTATGCTAGTCCATGATGTGTGAATTTACCTAGTGGAGGACACACCCTTCACTTCTTTTGGCACCATTTGATTTCCACAAACTTTACATGTTGTGCATTCAATTTAAGCCATGCATTAAAGCCTCTGAACTCGTTATGTGTGCAACATGTATGCATTTTAGTTTTTTTCATTTGCATGTTGCTTGATGATCTTCCATCGTGTTTGCTCATACCCTAGTTGAGTCACAATGCTGAATCTTGTGTGATGTTTGTTTGCATGGTTTGGTAGCGAGTCATACTCGATAGGTGAGTGACCCTGTCTCGGTCGCGATGCTTTAATGAGCATTGTTCTTCGGGTAGATACCAAGGAGTAGTGCGACTTAAAGCATCGAGATTGACACAAGTATGGTTGTGTTAAGGATCCAAAGTATCTAACTTGTGTCACTTTGCATGCTACGGGTCTGCATTTAATACCCCTATTTTAAAATAAGAAAAATAATTTTTCTACTTATGATATCCATACTAATTAAAAAAAGAACTATATAAATAAGAAGTTAGGCCATACGTAAGGCCAATGCTTTTTTAAATCCAAGTTAGGCCCTTGGATCGTTAGTGCGAGGTAGGTATGATGTCCTCGTTAAAGTCTTACATACACGAAGACTTTACCCTTGTGCACATTTAGATGTCGCGTTAGGAAAATTTCACTAGATGGTATGTTAGGCTAGGATTAGGGTGCTAGTTAGTCTTTTTCGATGTTTGGCTATTGTTTTGGTTTGCTTGCTCTAGTCAGTCATCACTTTGCTCTGATTTTGTGTCTTTACTGAGTGTGGACATGAGCAATAGTTTTTCTTACAGGGATCAATGCCTAAATATGTACACACATAAGTTTAATAAGGAAGGAGCAATGTCATGATTTATATTCTAACTTTTTCTTGCAAGTGCTGCTAAGCTTCTCCCACCAGTGGCTCATATGTGTTGCATGATAAAACCTGTGCTAACTTTTCTATAGATCTAGTCCTTTTTTATTTTATCATGTATTTTATTGAGTCCTAGAATTGTGTTTATATCAAACATAAGGTACGAGCATGGGTTCTGAGGTGGATGACACACCGAACCATGTGACAGGGACCGAGAGTTGCTGCTCGTGTCTCATACCTTAATTCTGAATTTATATTCATGTATAAAAGTAGATTCGTGCATGTGTATGCAGTGTCTGAATACTTTTTCCTGCTTTCCTGGGATATGTTGGCGACCCATCGACACTGACCTATTCTTAGATTATTCTTGGTTTGCTTTGATTTTTATTTTGTGGCAGCTTTATTTTCATGTTTCTTGCTGTTTGCTATTTATCTGAAATTGATCACAAAAAATAATCTAGGTTTTCTAAGGATCCTAATATTATAAATTTTCTACAAAATCCCAATAATAAAATATTATGATTAATCAAATTTTAGGGTTAAAAATTTAATTATTTTAAAACTTGCACTTACTTTTCTGCATGACCTTCGAGCAGGCTTTAAAATGGTTCGCTTGTATGGCTATACACCCCATCATACTTAATAGGGCTTTCATGTTTAGGATTGTGGTAGATAACCGCATTATATTTGCATGTCCCAAGAAGAAGCTCCCGTGCTTCTTCAACCTGACTGGCCCAACATAGATTTCTACTTATGTGGTCGTCTAACGTGATCAGGGTGTTAGAGACTACCTCGACCCAAACGAGATATAAGTTCTTTGTTCTTTAGATTTGTAGCTAGACCTCTTCTTTTACCTCCTTTCTTGAGGCATCTCCATCACTTACTCGACGGATATAAATGTCACCTCTTTGAGCTCTATTTGCACAGGTCATAGGACTTAGAGTTTCATTCATTTGACCTTAGAACTATCAAAGTCTCCTTATATGGTCCGAGAGAGAGATTTATTCGAATAAGAGAACAATATGACAATATATAAATAGACTAATTGGAGACACTAAGTTTTTGAAAAGAACAAAAAATAATCACTTAACTATGTGTTAGTTTGTCATAAAGCAATGAGCATACATGGTCGACTTACTTCTGCGAGATCAGTTCTATTTAGAACAAGTCAATGTTTAAACAACTTACATTTCGATAGAAATAGAAATTAAACTACTCATATTATTTAAGCCTCTTATTGTGATTTTATTCTCTATTTGCAAGAAACGTTTTCAGATAAAAAGATAATGATATTAATAATAAGAATTGTTGATGTTGATCAATATTTTGAGCGCGCTATAGTTTGAGAAGTAATTTGGCATGCAAAAACTAATTTAATACGAAATAAATTTTGTTAATACATCTTCAAATAAAAATTAAGGAAATATTAATAGAATATAATACTATAAGATATAAAATATGTATGTATGTATGTATGTATGTATGTATGTATGTATGTATGTATATATATATATATATATACATTTTATAGGTAAAATATAATTTTTTTTTAATAATTTGTTAAGCAATATAATTTAAGGAATCACTCAAGTTTTAACTAACTATCTAATTTAATAAAAAAAAATCGATTAAGCAATATGAGCCTCAAATACGGTCCTACTAGACTTTCTACTAAACATGGGCGATGGGCGGGTAATGAGCTGGGCTTAATCGGGTTTGACTAGTCAAAGCGGCTAAAATCGGGCTTGAGCCAAGTTTTTATCTAAAAAGTCATAGCCAAGTCCGCCCACTCTAAAAGTCGGGTCGAACCGACCCACATGCCTTAAAAGAAAAATCTGGGAAAGAAAAAAAATTAAGAATTGCGTGCTACGTATTTAAATTTCTCAAAAATTAAACATGGGAGGCATAATCTCGAAAAAAGTTGCGTTGATATCACAAAATTAATTTTCATTATTTGAGAAAAAGATGATGCAAGATATCTTAAGAGTTAGAATCTAGTCACCGATGAAACTCTAAGATGAAATGCTTAAAAAAACACATACATACCAATCATTTCTTATATAAAAATTATAAATTTTAGCAAAATTTAGTCACTGCTGATGCACAATCAACAAATGCACTTAAATCATTCATAATACTAAATATTAAAATCTGTGTGAGACATTTAAACATCAAACAAACAAGAATGTGCGATATGTAAGTAAATCACCCTAAATAAATTCAAATTTTTTTCGGACCAATCCATATATGGGCCGGCCGGGTTTAACTATTGCAGGCATTGACCAAATTAAAACGGGCTCGAGTCAGACCTCTTTACAATTAAACCCACCAATTCTAAGATGGCTTATGACTAACCTGTCGAGCCACCCACCTATGTTTAATTTCTACCCTTGACTACCTCCCATAACCCCAACTCATGAATTCCAGCTCGGCCAGATTGCTTTACAGTCAAACTCACTGATTTTAAACGGACTTACGGCTAACCTATAGGGCCACCCATCCAAGTCTACTATCTACCCCTGGATGCCTCCCATAACCCAAGCTCATGAACTGAGGAACTGAATACAACTACACGGTAAAAAAATAAATGCACCAAAAGCGAACTCCATGCACACTGCCCAACGCATAAGACCATGTTCCTCTCCCCAAATAGTGGCGTGCTTCTCTTGCACCCACCCACCACCTTGTTTCTGGCCTTTCTCATTCATCGGCAATGGCGAAAGCAATCCCTGGTAAAGACAATAGCGTTGATTGGTTTTTTCAGCGAGGGTATTTAATATTTAGTTTGCAAAGTGCATTTCCTTAGCAAAACAGATTTTTTTTCCAAAATTGGAAAAAAAATTCAAGCTTTTTAATTCCTCATACAAAACGAGGGAAGCAAGTAGTAGAGAGTACAGGAAGAAGAAGAAGAAGAAGAAGAAGAAGAAGAAGAAGAGGACATGGGTTGTTGCTATTCGAATCTTGAGAACAAGGAAGTAGTCTCGCGTTGCAAAGCGCGGCGGCGCTACATGCGTGAACTCTCAGAGGGACGAGAAGCTTTCGCCACTGCTCACTCTCTGTACCTCCATTTCCTCCGCTCAACAGGCGCTGCACTTCTTCAGTTCGCCAATGCTGAAGCCCAGCTCCATGTCGTTTCTCCCTCGCTGCGGCTACCTTCTCCTCCTCCTCCTCCTCCTCCTCCTCCTCCCCTAAAGCCCCATCTCCGACAACTGGACTTCATCAGTCACTGCCTCTCCTATCCTCCCTCCCCCACCTCCTCCTCCTCCCCCTCCCCCTTCCTTCGCGTGGGACTTCTGGGACCCTTTTGCTCCCGCCTCCTCCTCCCATTCCGTCACCGAAGAACTTTGGGAGGAGGCAGCGACTACCATCTCGGAGGTCAACACCGCTCCGGCGACGACTCCGCCACCTTCCTTCATCAGTGGATTCTCAAAGGATTCCACCGTCAAGCTTGCGGTGGTGGCTGTACCAAGGGGGAAAAAGTATTTCTCCGAAATAGTTCAGGAGCTAGATGAGTACTTTGTTAAAGCCTCTGAGACCGGGAGGAGGGTTTCCATTGTTTTGGAAGCTCCAAGTTGCGGTTTTGCGCTTTCCAATCAAGGATATTCAAGCAAGCTCTTACTTCCTTTTGACAATTCTTTCTAATATACAAATATTTGCTTTTACTCAACTGTTCTCTTCTCAATACAGGAAAAATGTCTAGCTATTGCAAAAGCTTTAGTCCGTTGATCTGTTCCTGGAGCTCCAGTACAAGGACCTTAGCTTTAACTAGTTCTAGCGATTCCAGGGAGGAGATGAGTAGAGTACGCCATTCTTGTACAATTGAGAAGCTTTATGCTTGGGAGAAGAAGCTTTATCTTGAGGTGAAGGTATGATGATTCATTACATCATTAAATGTGGTAAACCTTGTTTATTTACTCTGTTATTATATGCCAGTGGCTGAGCTGTGGCGCCAGAGCATGGCTACAAGCAAAAGTGATATCCACGATTTACTACTTTTTTATCGTACTCTGCTATGCTCTGCCACTCTCCTAGTTATTATTTTGCACCGTTGCGCCACCTTTCTTTTGGTTATATTCATTTGTGGCCCCATGAATGGGAAGAAGACCTAAAGGAAGTCACATGGAGAGGTTGATGGGTGAAAAAGCTTTTGCAGATTAATGAAATTAATGATGTTTGCTTCTAATGCAGAATTCTGAGAGAACTAGGCTGGAGAAAGAGAAGAGACTGAGTTTATTGAGAAGGCAAGAGGCAAAAGGTGTGGATTACTTCAAGGTTCTGAAGAACAAGAGAGAGATTGGGAGGCTGGAGTCCAAGTTGATGGTTTATTGTCAAGCTATTGAGACCACGTCCAGTGAGATTATTAGGCTTAGAGAGGTGGAGCTCTTTCCTCAGCTTCTCGATCTTGTCAACGGGTAAAATCTCTCTCTCTCTACCTCTCGCTCTTGCTCTCTCTCTCTCTCTCTCTCCTATCTTTTGTCTTTTAGTTAGAGAAAGAAAGAGAGCCGTTGCCATGACGGTCAATTTTAGTTTGACTTTAGCAAAAAGAGTGGTACTATTTACTCCGTGGGGGAAGTTAGTGTTCCATTAATATTTATTCTTTTGTAGCAATATGGCAATTCCATAAATATTTCTTGAACTTTCTTTGACTGCTTTGGTAACCATCAGACGTTTGAAGAGTTTTTTCTTTGGGATGTTGTGTACATGCCAATGAGCTTATGGAAGAGATACTTCTTTTAGGTATTAATTGGATTCTTTGGAACATTTTTGCAATTATTCTTTATAATTTACATTTTATTCTATGGAAGAAATATATCTTGTAGGTAATAGAGGATCTTTTGGAACATTTTGCTCATTATATCTACCAATATACGTTTCATACTATCGGAGTTCAAAGTACTCCTTGGAGTTTGGTTTGTTTATATTTATTTTGTAATGTTATATTAGTAGTATATACTAAATACTTTTATTTGATGATATCTTTACATACCATTTTTTTAAAGGGGGTTTTCAACCCTATTTTGATTAGATCAGAATATCAGCAAGTTTTTCATCTCGATATGACTACTATTATATTGTGAGTCTCTATTTTAGTTTCATAACATGCTATTGGATTTGGGTTCGTTGTTCTAGTCCTATAGGTTCAAGCGGGCAGCCATGTTGATTTCTTTGTGAATCACTATAGATTGATAAGTTATCAAGACATACTAAAAGCTCCTCTGTGTAATCAAAAGTTCAAGAAATGGCCGTAGATTACCCTTCTAAATCCTTCCATCCATCAGAGTGTTTGCTTGCAAATATTGCTCTTACAACCTATTATGGGTAGACATGTGGTAGGATGCAGTTACTTGATCATCTCACAAAGTGTTGGTATGTTTGCATCCAAAATTTTTAAACAACTTTATTGGTCTCATCTTGCATTTACCTACTAGTTACTATAAACTTGTGGTGCATGCGCTCACAATCAAGTTGGTGTCATGTAATGTCAAATGTTATATTTAGGCATTTTGCTCCTATGTAAAGCTATGGTCAACACTACTACACATGCATGCCTTTTTTGTTAATCCTGAATTATCTATTTGTGGGTTATGATGAAACCATACTTTGCACTCAGACAAAAAGAGGGAAATGCATAGAAAAATACAGAAGTGCGCGTGGAGAGAGAGAGAGAGAGGATTCACTCTATACTCAATGATCAATGAAATAGGAGTACACAAGATTGCGTAAACCATGCTTTAATCATGAACCCATATTTGTATGTGAGGATTAATGTTCAAGTGATGCCGAAAATGCTATAAATTAAATTAGATGGATGAAGAAGAATAAAATGAGGTCCATTGATTACTCGTAAAACATAAAAAAGAATGAAGCTTGATAACTCAAGTTAGAGCATGACCAAGTAGTCAGAAATTACTTGTTTTGCTGATGGAAGCTGTTGAGTAGCTCATAGGTTTAGGCGATTGCGTTCAGATACTCTGACAAAATTGCTACAAGTTCACAAGTTCACCATCAATTCAACTATTTGTGTTTTCCTTAAACTTGTTATGTTTGCCTTGTTACTTGCGTTTCAGTCCCTTAAAATCTCGACCTAGCTAGTCCTTATTGGGTTCAATTGACAAATATGGTTGGCATAGCTTGCCAAGTTTTTCATCTGACCGAGCAAATTTGTCCTTAGTGTTCTAGATGTACATTTCTTAATTTGGTGAGGCCTTCATGCAATTTATTTTGATAGTATTTATTGAGAATTTTTCACAAGCCTTTATATAAGCTTCACTTATTGTGGTTGGGAGATTTTTCTTCCCATAATGAGTTTTTTGCATTATTCGTTCATATTTTTTTAACTATATACAACAACAACAACAACAAAGTCTTAATCTCACTGCGTGGGGTCGGCTACATGAATCCTTTTTCTCCATTGCTTCCTATTTAGTGTCACATTTTCATTTAGTCCTATTTAGTGTCATATTTTTTTTACTATATGAATGGTTAATTTTTTCATGATGCTCCATACATTGCTTTATAGATGTCTGTCATAGGTGGTCTGTTTTCCACACTTTATTAATGAAGATAGGTTAAAAATTTTGACAAAATTTGTTAAATTGTTTCTAATTTTCACAAAAGACCTGTAAAAATTGTTGTCGAGATTAACATCATTTAACATCGACATGGATAAAGACAATAAACGCAATAAACAAAGTGTGCAAACAAACCAAGATCTTGTAGTATGAACAAAATTTGAATTTCAAATGAACAGAGGCATCAACTCATACATACTTAGGTGTTTGCTACTAACACGAGGAATGATAGAGAACTAGTTTGAATTGTATATATGTTGATTGAGACTCCTTTTGCTTCCTCTACTTTTAATAAAACTAAGAAAGAACTCTAAATGATAGAAATTAATATATTGACTTCTTAATAACTCTCATTGCTTGTCTACTATGTAATACATTTGGCGGCTGATGCAAAACTATAGTGTGTACTTGACACTGATGTCATTTTCATGTACTTTTCATACAGTCGTTGATCATGATTGGCCAATAATACCCCATTCTCTTAATCTTCACTTTCATCTTAGGGCTAGATTGAAGATCTTTACATAATCCTGAACGAATGTCTTTGACAATCTTCTGGGCTTCGTGCTTATCTGAACAGCATAACCACATATGATCAAAGGACTTTAGAGAAAATGTATCATTGATGAGGGCATAAGATAGAGCTCTAGGCTTCAATTGATGAGCTATTGATCTATCTTGGGGTAATTTGCCTTCTCGCAGATATTCCAAAAATGGTTGTCTCCAATCAATGGAGCCTTCAACTGTGGCTACAACAGTTTGTTATTTATGTTGATCAATGTACCCCATATCAATTAAAGAGAGGACTTGACAACCTTGAACTTCAATCGGTACTAATTCCTCTTTCAAGAATAGTATCTCCTTAGCCAATTTTGCCAAAGCATTTGCAATGACATTACTGCCATGGGGTATTCGATACAAAGTGACATTAGAAATCTGATCAAGCATACTCATCGGATATGGTAATATTGATGAAGTCGGAGTTTGAAAATCTTGTACGATACAACAATTTGATTGATCACAAACTCTGAATCTCTGAAAACATTAACCTCTTGTATGTCCATTAGAAAACCATGGATTTTTTCATTTTTATGATAAAGTTTGATTTTCTTTTTATCAAAGTTTTCATCACAAAGATTTTATATTATTTAAATTCATCCACATTGTTTAGCTCAAGTGGTGTGGTTGCTTGCATTGGATAAAACTGAGGAATGTGGTCTTTTTGTTTTTTAAAATTATTAGAAACAAAAAATAAAACATAATAGTTTTTTGAAAAAATGTAAAATATATATATATAATTCAAGAGATTATATATGATTCCTAGAAAAAAATTCAAATGACTTGACCATTTTGTAAGTCTATTTTAAGGTGCTCAAATTTCATTTTCCACCTAAAAAAATTTGACAAAATGGATTTAAACAACAACAACAAAGCCTTAGTCCCACTACGTGGGGCCGGCTACATGAATCCTTTTTCTCCATTGCGTCCTATTTAGTGTCATATTTTCATTTAGTTCTAGTAAATTAAGATAATTTTTAATACAATAAGCCCAATTCTTCCTAGGTCTACCTCTGCCTTTCTAAACACTTGGAAAAAAATGGAATTCATTTGGTTCTTATTTTCTATTTATAAAGGCAGAGTTAACATAGTCAGGGACATAATAAATGTAAAAAGTGAATCTACTTTGATTCTAATGGGCCTGTTATCCTACTATAGATCAAAGTTTCCTTGCCTTATTGCAGTTGGTCAGGCAATAAAAGTAATGCCCTTAGCTCATTATATGTTATTCAATGGCATTGAAGAGTAACTGGCATTAGTGAAACAATACCTTTAAGAAAAAAAAAAATAGAATCAAGGTTAAAGAAATAAAGTTATTATTTGTTCATTTGCATCTAGAAAATTCAATTGCATTAACACTTTAAATTATGACATACTCTACATCACAAGCTCTAATCCCAAATTGATATGGTTAAACTTTCTCTCAAGCCAAAGATTTTAGACTTGTTAAATATGATCTACACATAAATTCAACACATATCCTTATTAATCGGTTATAAATTTTTTTGGCTTTACTCTTGCATGTCTTTTTTATAACTGCTCAATATGAAGCATACCTTAACGCTTGTTACAGATAATGCAATGGCCCTTTGCATCTCATTGTCCGAATATGAGATATACACCTTACCTAGGTTGAGTTATACCTTGCGTCTATTTTTTGAGGTTGTTGGTAATTTTTTTAACTAAAGCTAAAAATTGATTCCAATATATCTCACCTATTAACTTTCAGACTTCACATATTAGCTAGCATGAAAATAATGGAACACATATCTATAAGAAAATTATGTAGTTAAAGTTCTAATCATCAACATAATCATTTTTTTAAAGTTTAATTAATATTTTTATTAATTATTATTGATTAGGAAAGAGAGATAATTGTGATTGAAGAAGAGGGATGGGAGAGCTTGGACATAATTGAGGATGGGATAAAGGATAAAGTAATTCTTTAGGTTGAATATTTTAATGAAAACTCATTGAGTGATAAGAGTTATGGGGATTTTTTAATTTAAAATTCTAATATTTATGGCTTGTGATATTTTTAAGTGGAGGATACTATAAGAGAGAGAGAGAGAGATAGAGAGAGAGAGAGATTTATTTTGCACTTATCTTAGTTGTTATGTTTTTTATTGTATTTTGATATCCTTACATTGATAGCTTGATATTTATATAACCCATCTTATTTTGAAGATTTTATAGTATGATGTTAAAATATTACTTCTTATTTTAATGATATCATCAAAATATTGATTTCAGTAAAATATTTAGTAGCAATAGGTTTCTAA